CAGTACCATAAACAAAAAATACCAAGCTCACTGCCATCAAGTTGGATCCGACTCAGTGATCCCTCCTTGGTTTTCTGAGGTGGTATCACTATGGAAGTAGATGGCCCAATCTTCCTTCTGAGGAGTTGGTGGGTTTGAACCAACAGCCTTCTGGTTAGCAGTCAAATGCCTTAGGCACTACGCCACCAGAGCTCCTTTAAAGTACCATGTTTTTGGTTTTTTTTTTTTAAAAAAGGGAAATGGCCTCTATGTTGAGTAATCCCCTTATAATGTGATAAATTTTAGAGATCACACTTCATTAACAAATACTTGACTACTTTTACATACTTCCTCAATCCATATAATTGAACAAAGAACAGGCAAAGGTATTACTGAAGTCACTGTGGGAGGATCTATACTATTTAATTAATGACACATTGCTAAGACGGTGAAGTACCCAGTTGCTAACTGAAAGGTTGGTGGTTCAAACCCACCCAATGGCTCCACAGGAAACATAACTGGCAGTCTGCTCCAGTTCTACTCTGCCACTCGGGGTGACTATGAGTTGAAATCAATTCAATGACATCTAACAATAACACCACATTGCTACTTAAATATGTCTCTGAAACTCTTTTTCAGAATTGCTCTTATTCATTCATTCAAAAATATTTTCGAGTATGAACCAAGGATATGTTCTAGGTGCTAAGATACACCAATGAACAATATAGACATGGCCTTTATCTTTCAGAATTTACATTCTAATTTGGGAAACAACAGACAAATAAATGAAGAAAATTTAAAGCAATGTTGTGGTTGTTGTTATATGCCATCGAGTCGGACCCGACTCATAGCGATCCCTCCTTGGGTTTCTGAGGCAGTATCACTACAGAAGTAGATTGCCCCATCTTCCTTCCGAGGAGTGGCCAGCGGGTTTGAACCACCAGCCTTCTGGTCAGCAGTCAAGTGCCTTAGGCACTACGCTACCAAAGCTCTAAATAAAGCAATAGGTACTATAAACAAAAAGGAGGGTAATGTGTGAACAATTAGGGTGGTGATTCAGTCAAGGTTTGATCAGAAAAGAACAAGTATTCACTTACACATATCAAACCAAACCTATTGCTATTCTGACTCACAGCGACCCTAAAGGACAAAGTAGAACTTTCTAGAGTAGCCTTTCCAAGGCTGTAATCTTTACAGAAGCTTTAACTTTTTGTTTTGAAATAATCTAAAAGTTACAGAAAAGCTGCAAGAATAGTACAAAGAATTCCTATATGCTTACCATCCAGATGATTTACCTTTCTCAAAGGTTGCTTTGTGGAGAATAGGCTATAAGGGTTAGGGCTGCTTCTTTCCACAGCTCCAGGCAGCACGGTATTTGATGTAAATGACACTCCTAGAGTACAATGCACATATGCTGCTGGAATTGTGCAGAAGACTAGGTAAGTGTGGAAGGCATAATATTACTGAGAGAGTTATTGCAAACATTCACAATTACAGTGGTTCAACACCAGTTTTCAGATCTTGTAAGAAAACCAGTATCATTATGTCAGTCTCAATTCTCAAATTCACAGAGACACACAAAAAACAAACTCACTGCTGTCGAGTCAAATCTGACTCACAGTGACCCCTCCTTGGGTTTCCGAGGTGGTATCTCCATGGAAGTAGATTGCCCGTTCTTCCTTCCGAGGTGTGGCTAGTGGGTTTGAACCGCCAGCTTTCTGGTGAGCAGTCAAATGCCTTAGGCACTACACCACTAGGGCTCCCCAAATTTATGCTAGAACAACAAGTAATATTACTTCACAGATTTGGTCTCAAATCATTTGGCTATTTCTAACAATTGTACAAATTCTCAAAACCCCTAAAAAATTTGGCATCACTGAAACTATTTAAGAGAATGCTTCACAAATAATTCCACATTTCCAAAAATGCTTTTCATATTCAGCATGAAGAATGTACAAAACCTCCTGAGACAAACATGTTGAAGGGGTCAATACCCAAGTTCATGTAAGGATCTAGTCTTACTACTTTACAGTCGAACTTCACCTTGTCTATCTTGTGTTTTTATCAGTCTTGGCTTTCTCTACTTGAGATCATGAAAAATTTACCTAAAGCAGACTCTTCTGCTTGGATTATCTCTCCCTTCTAGCAATACTGTCTGGCTAAAAGCCAAGGTTCAAATATTGAACTGTGCTGAGGTTCTTCACATATTCAAGCTCATTTCTGATTTCAGTACAATTCCAAGTTTAACATTAAAATCAACAGCTAAAATTAAGTATGGATAGCCATTCATTCTCACTAAAAACAAATTACCAAAACCAAACCAAACCCACTGCCATAGAGTCATATCTGACTTATAATGACCCCCACGTTGGGTTTCTGAAGTGGTATCACTACAGAAGTATAATGCCCAGCCTTCCTTCCGAGGAGTGGCTGGCTAGTGGGTTTGAACTGCCAGCCTTCTGGTTAGCAGTCAAATGCCTTAGGCACTATGCTACCAGAGCTCATTTAATCATGAGGGTAAACTAGAAAAATGAAAGAGTAGCTGGATGACCTTATAGAAATCATTTATTCTCTCATACTCAGTTAAATAAGAGCTTGAAGTTACTGCAGTAGGATTTAGTGAGAATGAGTTAAAAGTACCTGATACATGGTATGAACGAACGAACACACTGCCAATTAAAAATTAGTATTATTACACAAGTCAATAAAAATAAACCATCTTCACACGTTCTTAAGTGAATAAAAAAGAAGTGCTTCGAAAAATGGGGGGTGGCGGTAGGGGTGGGGCTCTTAACAGACCATTTATGTTCTTTATGGAAAACATGTAAAAGCAGGCAAAAACAACCATCACATCAGGGTGTTTAGAAAAAAGCATTACCTGACAGAAGAAGAGTACAAAAGTTTTTGAACTTTAATTAGAGTTTGCAGTATATATTTATCTTTCTGTAATCTGGGAGTAATGAATCTTCATATAAACATTTAGAAAGAAAAATAAAAGGGAATACTGTGTCACAACTTACGAAATTTTAGTTTCGAGCTCTGTTTACTAATCAAGGGCAGTTTTTCACATTTATTAACAACTATTTTCCTTCATTTAACAATGACTCATGAACAACAAAATAAATTATCAGCAAATTCAACCATTAATTAAAAATTAAATTAAAAAATCTGTTAAAAGTTTCATAAATGCTAGCATAGAAATATATTTGATATGATGATTACAGAGTTACTATGACTTTGTGTAAGACAACAAGTATTATTCCCCTCTCATTCTAAGTTCACAAAATATATGAAAAACTTTTATTCTTTTTCTTAGCTTAATTAACTGCACTTCAGTTGAACACAACAGATAATAACTGTGATTATTAGTGAGATGTGGTAAAAGAAAATGCTTATAACCACTTAGGAGTTCATGTAAATCTAAAATATACCTCAGACTTTCTAGTCTCAACCTGTAGCTCTCACTTATTAAATGATTTACAAAGAACTGTTAGATGATTTAATGAGTAGGCTGAAAGTCACTGCTATTTTGCTAGTCACAAACACATATATTTGCCCATAAAATGAAGCAGAATTATATTCATTTAAATGATACTAGGTACAAGGAAAATCACAAAGACAAGATCAAAAGTATCTTTAAGTTGTGCTACATTGTTTTAATTAAAAAGTTTACCTTATCATTCTTCCATTTCTCGCTTCAAAATGCAATAAATACCTTTGAAAGGAGATAGAATTTATTTTTTATCCCCAAATAGGCTAGAGGTAAAAAAGAAAAGGCCTGAACTAACTTGGCAAACAAAAAGTGGATAACTTCCACTCAGTGGTATTAATTGGAATGCTCATTTTCTACAGCAGGTATTGGAACCATTTAGCATTCTTTACATAAGCATTTGATAAAGTATTTTTTAGCTAGCATACCCAATACTAGGGCATCAGAAAAAATAAATGGCTTTATTACAAGGTATTCAAGATGGTTAACTACTTAGAATCCAGTGCCAACATGGATTATAACAAATCCAGTGAGTATTTTGTTTTTCAATTATTCATAGAAAACTTAATCCTGATTAAGTATACTTGGGCAGGAATTCATGGGTAGTTAATGACTGAAACCAACATTTACATGAAATTCTTCTGTTAATTTAATCTGTGTATACGACTTAATTATGATTGGGGATTCAATGTAAGAGAAATGAATTATATCAGGATTAAAATTTTAGTACCATACCACATAGTACTACTACTTTTTTTTTTTTTTTAAACACATAAGCCTGCTTCCCCCTTCACCTAAGTATTCACATTTTAAAATCATTCATTCTTACAACTCAAGTAATGTATGTAAGTTTTAATTTGCCTAAATTAATCAAGCTAAAAAGTTCAATTAGAGCCAAAAATGACAGAAAAAAATTAGAGAATAACCCTACCAATAAACAAAAGATTACTCATTTAACTGTGAACATTTTTATTAATTTCCTAAACAGATTTTTAATCTCAATTCCTTTAAACTCTAACATGAAATGCATTTCCCATACATCATGAAAAAAAAGCAATTTTTAATCAGTTTATTAGACTGATTTCATAACTGGACAATTTTAGATATATATATATATATATATATATATACACAAGAACAAGTAATCATTTAACTGATTACTTTTTATAAGACTATCAAACCTGAGTTAGCTAGATTGATATAAGATTATGCATTACAAGTGGTGAATTATTTTACCAAAATATCATATAACTCTCTTTCAATCTTATTTCCATAGGGAAATTGCTTTAAGTCACTTTATAACAACAATCTTTCTGGAAAGTTTATTGTTTATAAAGTATTTCAAAACATTCCATTTATTACATTTCTTTGTTTTTGGTACTGCTTAAATGCAGTTAATAAATAACACACTAAGCTTTCTCTGTTCAATTTTTCATACCAGGTGTATGAAAAAAACAAAAAAGTCACTGTATTTGGATCCTTATTGCACTCTGTTAAACCAATTCACTTTTCCTTTGAACAAAATCAAGTATCAAAAATGAGGCCGAGTTTTGTGTCCAGGTGGTATGGTTAGTGGTAGCGTTACCGAGGAAAGTGAAGAAACTTCCCAGTATAGACTGTGGGATAGAAAGAGTCTGTAGAGAATAACCATGGAAACAGACTGGCAAAGGATAACACCTATTGTGATAACCTGAAAAGAAAAGAAAGAGAATGCTTCTACTGCTTGCTGAAACACAGAAATTATATTCAATTTATCATGAACCTATATATACTTTTTATATAAATATACTATTCTACTTTTCATCTTTATAAAGGGTATATTTAGCAAAGAAATTTTCAAAAGAAAAATATGACTAATGTTCAGAACTATAATTGTCCAAGGGTAAAATTCCTTTGACAGTTTATAGATGGCAAAGTAAGACACAAAAGAATAATTTGCTAAACCATTCTCTCTTAAGCATGGGCACACTACAGAAAGGAGCTTCTGTATGTAACAAGAAAAATCAGGTCCCTGGCTAATACAGAATACAAATAAAGCATGCTGTACTAGAACCTTGAAGAATACTCTAAAAGTCCTTTCAAACATTCTCAAGTCACTTCTCTATTTTTATAGACTACTTTTCTATTTACCTTTGTAAAATATCTCAGGCTTAAAAAACATTTGTGCATCCAAGTCATAATACATCGCTCATAAAGGGTTCTGGGAAGAATTCCATTTTGAAATGATGGAGTTATTCATTTAAGAAAGTAGGTATCAACATAATTAAAATACAGTACCATTGGGCATGGCACTTTAGTCTGCAGCTTGTTAAAGCAACTAGAATAATATTTATAAATCTATCTTGATTTGTTCATTAGTTAGAAAAAATTCTCAATTATATTATGGATTCTCTAAATTAATTTATAAAACTCTTAATTTATAAAACTTCCAGTACTCTGGAATAGGTGAAAATAAGCATAACAAAAGTTATTTTCCATTTTGCTCATACACTAAATTTTTTAAACATTCTATTTTAAACTTCCAATTTATGTACCCAATGGTTCAATGTTTTATTTCCAAGCTTTCAAGAAACCACTGAATAGATAAATAGGACCTTCACACTTTAATAATTTCCACTAAAGACTTTATTTCCATTTTAAAAACTATTTCAATTATGTATATTACTTACCTTATCTCTTTGGTAATCACTAAAAAAGACAGAAATGCATGCAAGGCCTGGATGGCATAAAAACCACAAGATACAGCCCTGAAACAAATGAATAAGAAGTCATTAAGTAAGATGTAGGCAGATGCATTTTCACAACATACCAGATAAAAACATTACTTGCTATTTAGGTGTTGATTGACTAAAACACTCAAAAATAGTAGACACCTATGAGGGGCAGGGCAGAGGAGGGTGGAACTTGGCAGATAAGAATGGGAGACTCTTTGAATCATGGCAATTCTCTTTTCCAAAATCAAACTGAAATAAAATCATAAATTAATAAATAGTAATTTTTGAGCCTGGTATATTAAAGACAGAAAATGATAAAAACAAGATACAGAAAAATGTTTAGTATGCTGCTATTCATATAAAAATAGAGGGAAAAGTACATTGGCATATATATTAAAATTCCCTAGAAGGAAAAATTAGGAACTAATAGCGCAATCACATGAGGAGGTAATGGTAACTGAATAAATGGGAGAGAAGTGAACAGTGAA